AATAACCAAAACAAAAAACTAATCTACAAATATACAACTAAATGATTTGCTTGATTGATCAATTTTCTTTCTTCTTCTCCATCACTTACTGTCACTTGACACTTGTCTTACCAAAGGGTTAAAAAATGTTGTTGTCCAAAACAACAACAAAAAAACAAAACCAAAATCCATTTCATTAATCTCTGGGTGTTTCATTAAGATTCCGTAATAATTTCTTCAGGATTCTGCATGCGAGAATTGAATTTGAATGCAGAATTCTGTTGGATATGCAAAACAACAACAACAACCAGAAAAGAGAATCCTGGTTTGTCATAATTTTTTTGTCTTTTTTGTCTTCTGTGATTCTGTTTCTGTTTTAATTAATCTCATTAATAACTGTCGTTTTGTTTTTTTGTTTTCTGGTGAATGTTTGGCTTCACTGACTTTGGCTTTTGCTTGTTTTGCTTGATTATTTGTTTGGTTAATGTTTTTTTCCCCACTATTCATTCACTAACTTCATATTCGCTTCACTGCAATGCTTTTTTCGGTTTGCAAAACCAGAAAAAACCCCCAGAATCGAAAACAATGGTAATTTTTCATGACGCCTTTTTTTGCATAGAGCGAGCAAGAGAAAACAAAATCATTCCCTGGTAATAAATGTTAATGATGTTGTTGGTATACTACATATCTGGACCAGAAATGAAACAAACGAGAAAATTTTCTGTTTTCATTTTTAATAAAAACTTTCCTCATACAAAAAAAAAGAAGAAAAGAAATGAATCATCGTTGCTTTGATTCTTTTGCACTATCTCTTATGACATCTCTTTGGCTATCTCTCTCTCTCTGTGTTTGTGTTGATGAAATATCGGTTTCACGTTTTTGTTTTTATTCATTGAATTTCATTGAATTTTCGTTTTCTTTTCGGGCAATGTCCGGAACAATAATTTTTTAAAACGAAAAAACAAAACAAAATGACAACGATGATGATGATAACGTTTGTTTTTTTACATAATGGGTCATTCAGATAAACTGATTCTCTCTCTCTCTCTCTTTTCCATTCTGGTTATATGATGTGTAAAAAAATTTTCCGTAAATTTTTTTCCCGAGAAACTTTTTTATGTTCATTTATTTTTCTCTTGGTTGTTGTTGTTGTAGTCCAGTTTATTTTTCAAAATGTCTTTTTTCGACAACAACAACAAATGCAAACACGATACACACACGTAGTTTATAAATTTTTCTTACTTAAAAAAAATAAGAATTTATTCTTTCAGAATGACATCCACAAACACAAACACACAGAATATTCTGGATGTTAAAATTACTTTTTTTGAATGTTCTTTTTTTTCTTGATCCTGATGAATTTTCTCGTTAGTGGCGGTTTAGATTAGATTCTTCTCCTTCTTCTCTAAAACTAACAGTAATTTTCTTCTTTTTGAAATTCTGTAAAATTCTGTAGATGATTATGTTTGAACTCGTTCTCTCTCTCTCTCTTTATTCATCCCTTGAAGCTGAATAAGAATTTAAAGAAAAAAATTCAAAATGAGATTTTCAAAATGATGATGATCGTCGTCGTCAAGAACGAAGAAAAAATTTTCATCCAGAAAATTGACAGCCAAAAAAAACATTCTTAATTCGTTTTTCGTTAGTCAAAGAAGAAAAAAAACTAATAACATCACCCAGAGAGAGAGAGAGAGAGAGAGAGAGAGAGAGAGAGAGAGAGGG